GTGGAGAGAGAGGAAGAGAGGTGCCACTGCCTGGGAAAAAAGGATATGCCAAGCAAATAGAGTTGATTTGCCAAGGGTTTTACTGTACATGCATACACAGAGTCAGCAGAGTAGCAGCAACAAAGTTCAGAAAGAAAATTGCAAAAAAAGAAAATAACGTCAACGAAAATTTAAGGACCTGTCATCGTGGCCATAACAAAAAACAAATCCAACCTCCTCGAAAGCATAGCAAGTACATGGGTTTTGCTAAAGATCTTTTTAAATGAGTTTTAGAAAGCGCAATTCAACACGAATTGTTTATGCCTGGCATTTGCCAAGGAGTAGTTGTCTTAAGGTTACAGGATAAGCGAAAAAACATATAAAAACACTTGCTGTTGCTCTTGTTGCCTCTTGAAAACACAATAAAAACAAAAATTCTCCTTGCCATTGTTGGCCAGAAAACTAAGGAAAAATGCAATCATCCAGGATAATAATGAGAAAAGAAAACAACAACCACGAAAACAACAGCGCCAACAAGTAGAAGAAAAGATGTTGTGGTCGTTAACCTCGACATTTACAGCCAGCACAAGAAGAAGAAGAAGTAGAGTTGTAACAAAACAACAACAATGGGTACAAATTTTACAAAACAATAACAAAAACAAAACGTGGAAAGAGCAGAGAAGAAGAATCAAAACAACCAGCCAACCAACCCAACTATCTCTCATCCATACAAATCATCAGCCATGTTGTTGATGATTTGACGATGCAGCTGCAGCAGCAGCAGTTGCTGTTCTGCAGCCATGGCCCCCTCATCAAAATAGGAGCAACAGCAGCACCTCATTTGCAACATTGTTGCTCTCAATGTCATCGATTTTTGTGTTTTGTTACACCAACCACATGTTAGAATGAATCTCCTCTATGCCGTACCGTGCTTCGTGTTTATGTCCTGTCGACTCGTGGTTCGTTGTTGTCATCGTTTTTCGTTATTTTCTTTTTTTCCTCCACAGCTTGGTGGGGTGAAAGTGTGTAGATGACCGACCGAGTATACAGCCTGGCCAGATGGAAAGCCAGCCGGTCTTGGTCGGTCGTTTGCTCGTAAAATAAGAGTGAAATCAAAACATTTGGGTGAGCACAACATTGTTGCAAGCCTCTGGTCTCGGGAATATGGGAAATTTTTCTTCTCTTCCAAAAATGGGATGTAGAGAAGGAAAGAAAAATAGGGTAGCCAAAATGGGGATATGAAAAGATGAAAATTTTGGAGGAAATTTTATAACAAAAATATCACGATAATTGGGACAATGAATAGGATTCTTTGTGGGAATAGAAGAACTTTTAAAGGCCTCAAAGAATCTGTTCAAAAACTTCTGGGGGAGGTACCAGAAGGAATTTTTCGATCTCTATTATCTTAATGGCAGATCTTGTGTTGATGAAAATATTGAGATGTACCAAGTCTGAATGGAATCGGATGTTAATTTCGGATTTTACGATCCCCATGGATAATCAAAATTTTGAGCCTTTTGTGGGGTAGTTACCAGAAGGAGTGGACCGATATATCCCAATTTCACACCTGACCTTGACTTAATTAAAATATTGTGATGTGTGTAATTTGAAGAGAACCGGATGCTTATTTCAGATTTTATTAACGTTTTGGTTATTCAACATTTTGACCCTTTGTAGGGGGGAGGTATCAGAAGGAATGGTCCGATCTCTACCATCTTTATAACCGATCTAGTGTTGATGGAAATATTGAGATGTGACAAGTCTGAATGGAATCGGATGTTAATTTCGTGTTTTATGAGCTTCATGGATGTTTAAAATTTTGAACCTTTGTGGGGGAGGTACCAGAAGGAGTGGGCCGATATATTCCATCTTCATGGCAGACCTTGGGTTAATAAAAATATTGTGATGTGTGTAATTTGAAGAGAAAATTTGAATTATTCCAAATTTTGACCCATTCCATTTTCGCACCTGTCCTAGCAATGATGCAAATATTAAGATTCGCAAAATGGAGCAAAATCGTATTATCCTTTGTCTTTCTGTGTAGTACTTTTTTTTGTGAAAATTTCGACCTTTTGGGTGGGAGATACCAGCCAGATACCAGCCAAACATACAGACGGACGGGCATTACCATATCGACTCCAAATGTCCTGAAACAGATTTGGTCCAAGGTGACCTAGGGTCTAAAACCGTTATTTCGATGAGGCACGTTTCGGCCGTATCAAGTGATATATACCCTCAATAGCTATATGGCTGAGGGTATACAAATGGTTGACCAAAATCTCGAAAACTATAATCTCGTCTTGTACGACATGGACTTCTCTTAACCTGCCCATTTTGTAGACTTAAGAAGCATTCTCTGTTATTAGCGACAAAAATGCATTTACAATGCGACTTCTCTTAATCTGCTCATTTCCTAGGCCTTAGTAGCGTTCTCTGTTATTAGCGACAAATTAAAGTAGTCGAATACGGAATCTTTATGCTTTTTCAATATGATCCGGCTTTCCGCTCGGACCGCACAGTAGATGACGTAGCTCTTCGAATAATATTTGCAACACCCAACACGGATCTCCTCTGGTCTGGCGGGCATTATTCCCAAATGCTAAGCAGTATGAGTTCACTTTAAATTTCATCGGTGGAATATAGGCCTATTTTTTTCAAGTATTCCTTCCAAACAATACCTCTTGAAGACCTGATATAGAATAAAATATCCCAGGAATGTCCAGGACATCTAAATCTGTTAAAGGTCTTCTAATAAAAATTATTATTCTTAATTTATTATTTTTTAATTAACCACCTTTTAAAATGACACTCCTGTTTTGTGACGGCAGCCCTATATCCCCAATTGTTTTGCTTCATTCATTCTATACTCTACTCTCTCTCTCCCACTTCCACTCTCTTACATTTTTACATCGACAACTTTCACTTGTTATTTTGCAGATATCCATCTGGCTGTAAACATGTCAAATTAACATTGTTGCCAAAGGATTATCATTAACACCCATTACAACAAGGCAACTTTTACGCTCTTCAAGGACTTCTATCTTGCTCTCACTCTCTTTCATACTCTTATTGGAAATGCGCATGTCACAAACAAAAGCAAAACACCAAAACAATGCCCCGTTTTAACCAAACATTTGAGGTTAAGTTGCATCATGTGAGAGGAGGTAGCAAAAGGATGTTGTCTTTGCGCATGTCCCGAGGTGACGTACATTGTTGTGTTGCTGGAAAATACCGGCGATGAGTAGAATACCACAACACTGAATAACTACTGGATTGACTAAAGGGTACTGTTGTTGTTGTTGCTAGTATTCTCATTTGAGGTTCTGCAATAGTGTTGTCGCATGCTCCGGGTGGTGGTGGATGTGGGCCTGCAACATTGTTGTTGCAAACAATAACAAAACAGAAGCAGCAGCAACCCAGCTCCACTAACAACAATGTATTCCAGTAAACAGAAGCAGGCAGCAAAACACAGTTGAATTTGTAAAATTACTTTGACCGAGATTTCCGCTCTTTGGGGCTGGTTTGCCAGTTTGGCTGGCCGATGATAATAGAGCCATATTCAAAAAAAGCTTACACTACTGGAACACCTCTCTTCAAGTTTTTGTAAATTTACTCTTACTCCATAACTATAAGGGGGCCCACAAAGAAATACTAGATGGAATTCAAATGCAAAGAGGATGCATGGATGGATGGATGGATGGGAGAATAGGATATTATCCAATACAGGAAACGATGGGATGGGTAACCACTCTATTTGAAATGCGTATTATGGTTATGGCTTCATTAATTGGACACCAAAATCCCTGATTTCATCATTGAATAATTTATGTTTTTATCTGTATCCCTCTTGAGGTCCTTTTTGCACAGACACACACTCACTCACCCGTTTACACACACGCACACATTCTTTTACATTAACTTTGTTGCAAAAAAAAACGACGAACACGAAGAAGATAGGTGAAAATTACAAAGTTGCAAATACTTTTTGTTACATTTTAGTTACTTTGTAGCATTTTCATGGAAATTACTTACATTTTCCACCAATTCAATGTCCAAAAACCTGCAAACACTTTTATTATTGATTTATATTTCCACTTTGCAACATTTTTTTAAGGAATTTTCTACGTTTTTGACGCTGCTGCCTGCCTGCCAACTTGCTTTGCTTTTGTGTTCTCTCGTTCTCGTTGTTTTTTTTTTCGAGCCTGCTTTTACTTCTTACTTTTACTTTGTTAGGCACTGGTATGTTGTTGTAACGCGCGTGTTTTTTCCCCAATGTAGTGTTACGGTTAGGGTTAAGTAGATCGATTTTTGGTTAAGTGATTTATCGATAACAACAAGGGGGTTTGTAAAGTTTTTGTGGGATTGAGGACATGTGGGGAGGAATAATGTGGCAAAAATACATTTCAAGAGGAGGAGAAATGTCTACTCATTTATTTATATTTTTAAAAGGTTAGTTTTTTCTTTTGAAAATGTGTGGATTTCTTATATCGATGATATCACAGATTACTACTACGAAATCATAAAAAAATCGGCTTACAAATCCCTAATAAATAAATAAATAAAATAAATACCAAGGAGCTGTCCAAAAAGGATTAAGGTGGAGAATGACTTGTGATGAGGACATTAAATGACCAGCTAGTGTGTAAAATAGATGATGCATAACATATTCCATCCGGTACCTGTACATATATGGGTTGGTTGGTTCGTTTCATAAACTGCGTAAGACTTTTCTGCGTGATTCTGATGTTTGGATATGAAAGTATAATAAGATAGGCAAAATGAAATGCACAAAGACTGTGGAAACAGTACCTTCAAGCTCCGAACAAAAAAGATTCACAGACAGATGACGGCAATTCCGGCTAAGTGCAAGAAGCACAACAGCCGAAATGGAATCACACGGTCTTTCAATAGGGTGTTCAGGACAAGGAAGATGGTTGCCCCGGTAAACGAGGAAAAAGGTTGAGGCAGAGTTTCCTTGCAGCTCAATGTAATTAAGTTTGTGGACGAGTTCCCGAACGGATTATTAGAATTGAAGTCTTGAGAAAAATTTAAATTCCATATATTCCACAATTCTGATTTTGAAAATATAATTTTGAAGCCTTTAAATTTTAAAAAAATTCAAAATTTTGATTTTGAAAGAAAATTATCAGAAACCGCCGCTTTTGATTTAATATTACCATGGAAAGTTGTTTGAAAACTACAACCTGTTGTTGCCTAGGGTTGCCATGGTGCTTAGCACTTGTTTGCTGGATGTTCCAGTGACCCATATGTCAGAATGTTTTTATAATTGTTGTCAAATTAACAAAAACTTGAAAAGGATTTCATTCTTGGTCACGCACAAAAAATGGACGCTAATAAAAATAATTCGGTAAAAATCTGCTCAAGATACAAAAATTATTCTCCCCCATTAACATCTTCAGTATTTTTTCAGAGTAAACGTACCATTGCCTATGTGGAGGAGGTCTATCGTCAGATTCAACAAAAACCCGACATTGCTGACATTATGATACTCAACAGCAAAGGTAATCCCATCAAGACCACCATGGAGAAATCTGAGGCCATACAATTTGCTGGACTCTACGAGAGTCTGAGGGACAAGGCAACCATGGGATTGCAGAAAATCGATCCCACGGATGAAATAACAATGCTGCGAATACGAACAACTAAAAATGAATCCCTGATTGTGCCGGATGGTAAAATTACGGTTGTGGTTATCCAAAATGCCAAGGATCTTTATTGCAAATAGAATTTGTTATGAAAAACTGAAATATATTATTCGTTATTGTACCACAACAATTGTAAATTCCTCTTCGGGAGCAATCAAGTATTCACATTTCTTTGTGGCCACTCGCAAAAAGGTCAAATCATTGGTACAATCCAAATCCCGAACTGCACTGCGTGCGGTGTCCACCAATGTGCCACACAATAGCTTGATTATACCCATGGAAATGGTGTTGTCATAGGTCGATGTAGCAATCGTACCATGCAGATTATTTGAGATCACATATCCTTGGGTATTTTGCGTAATGCGTTCGGTATTCTCGGCGTTTTCTTTTATAATGGCATCCAAGTTGGCCTGAAAACGGGGAAGGAGGTTGCAAAAAAGGAATCATATACAGATTTGGTCAAGGGAAATAATTATTTTTACAAAATTTACCATTTTTAAGTGTATTATTGTTGCTTAGAAATATTTTTGTGACAATGATTTCTAGGTTATATTTCCAAAAAAATGTAGTCAAACTTGGAAAAATTATGTAAAAATCTACAAAGAGATTAAAAATATGATTTCTGAAAAAAAAAACTCTTTAAAACGCAAGATTTAAGACCTGCAAAGTCTTTATATAGAATATCTCCTCCATTTATTAACATTTGAAAGCTGTAACGTTTAACGCCTTCATTTAATTCATTGCTTTCTGCCTTGAGGCATTTAATTAAACTTGGCAGCATTTTTTACATACTACTTTCAACATACAACTCTGGCATCTTTAATCAACCTACTCTCCCTCTCTCGCACACGCACACACAACACAACGAAAATTTTGACATTTCTGTGAAAGTGCCGCACCGCAAACCAACAATCACTTGGTAAAATAATAAATAAATTAACAATAAAATATAATAAGCCGCATTAAAATTATCTTATATCCACAGAATAGAAATAAGCGGCATTATGTCAACAGAAGATTTCTACTTACGTTACTATGTGGGGCACAAGGGCAAGTTTGGCCACGAGTTTTTGGAATTTGAGTTTCGACCGGATGGTAAATTGCGCTATGCCAACAATTCCAACTACAAAAACGACACCATGATTCGCAAGGAGGCATTTGTGCATCAGGCCGTGATGGAAGAGTTGAAACGTATTATTTTGGATTCCGAGATAATGGCGGAAGATGATTCACCCTGGCCGCCACCAGATCGTGTGGGACGTCAGGTATGTAAACACTTTTCACTTCACTGTTTAATGAAAATCACTAATGTTTTTTGTTTGGGAATTTGCCGCAGGAATTGGAAATTGTCATTGGCGATGAACACATTTCATTCACCACCTCCAAAACCGGCTCCCTAGTCGATGTCAATCGTTCCAAAGATCCCGAAGGCTTGAGATGTTTCTACTATTTGGTACAGGATCTTAAGTGTTTGGTTTTTTCACTCATCGGCTTGCACTTTAAGATTAAGCCTATATAATTGTCAACAACAACGTTTGTGGTGGCCGAGCTGCAGGAAGTGTTAGCATTTATGGACAATGTCACGGTGTTGTTGCACTTCATTTTCTTTAGTTTAATAATAATTTCATCGGACTCTACAGTTTATTTACATCGATGACAATTCTCATGGTATTCTGCTTTTTTTGTAACATTAAATAAAATCTTAAAACTGGAAACGATTTTGGGATTTCTTGTAATGATGGGGAGTGTTGTGATTTATTTGTGTGGGCTATAAATAAACTTTAAGGAGCATTGTTTTGTTGCTTTTTTGTGTCAAAGGATATTTTGCTCTGCTGGTACATGGTTGTTATGTTAAGGAGTAAAGTTTGGTGGTGCCCAAAGAAAAGGGCAGTTAATTTTGAATTGAAAGGATATTTATTTTGCTATGAAATTTGAACTATTTAGAATGGGAAATAATCATTTTAGCAAGTATGGAAAAAAAGTAATTGATATATTTGGGGGTGCACTTGGCATTTTCCATAAACCAAACTGGTGTCTGTACAGCGAAATTTTAAGAAAATTTGTAACAAGTTGGGTAAAGTGCTAAAATTTTTCAGAAATTAACAGGCATTTTTATTAATGCTATTTTTATGGTAGATATGAGATATACAAATATCTTTTGTTCAGAGACTCACAATGAAATTCGATCTAGAATAATTCCTACTTTGACACTTTCCCCAAAAAGTTTAGTATAAAGGGAGATTTTGACTCGAATTGAATATGTATTAAAGTAACAGTGATAAAAGCGAACACATAATTTTCACTCTAAGAACATACATTTTAAATTTTCTTATAATACTATTGTACCTAGATATATGGTTTATTCTGAAATTTTTAGTGAAATTTTGTGTAGAATATTTCTTCTTTTAAAAGCTTTCGTCTAAAACGAAGGTTTATGTTACTTTCAGTAGTCAACTTGATAAGAATCACAGGAAAAAATGTTCAAAAAAATTAGGGAATATTTTCTAATTTTTTTGGATCTTATTTTCATAAAAACTATTGTACATAGATATATGGTTTATTCCCGCCTAAAATAAAATTTAATGTTACTTCCAGGGGTCAACTCGAAAAGAATCCGAGGAAAATTGTTTAAAAAATTGTGGAATATTTTCAGATTTTTTTAGATGTAATTTTTTCATAAAAACTATTGTACCTAGATATATGGTTTATTCTGAGATTTATAGTGAAATTTTGTGTAGAATATTTCTTCTTTTGACACCCTCCACCTAAAACGAAATTTTATGTTACTTTCAGGCGTTAACTCGAAAAGGGAATATTTTCACATTTTGGATGTAATTTTCATAAAAAACTATTGTACCAAGATATATAGTTTATTCTGAGGTTTATAGTGAAATTTTGTTTAGAATATTTCTTCCTTTGACACATTCCGCCTAAATTGAAATTTTATATTACTTTTAGGCGTCAACTCGAAAAAAGTCCCGGTAAAAATTGTCCAAAAAATTAAAGAATATTTTTGGTTTTTCTTTTGGGAACATTGATTCACATTTTTTTAATATCCAATGGAAATCGAGATTTTCTTTCCTTGGTAACTCGTAGTAAAATTTGATGAAGAATATTTTTGTCTGTGACGACATCCTTCAAAAATTATATTTTGTTGGAGATTTTTGCACAAACTCACACAAAGTACGGCTTTAACCCTAACACGTGTTTTTCATATATTTGAATTTTTGGCGTTTTGGACTTTTGTCGTCTTCTAGGACCTATAATAGATTTTAATGACAAATAATTTTCTTGAATGTTTTGACTTGCTGCGATCTCGTTTAAAGGGAGTTTTGAACCAGACTTTTAAAGGAAGACCAAAAAGACGCCTTCGGACACTCGCATGAGGTTTAAAATGTTCGACCTAAATAATCCTCGTATTTTTATCTGTTATATTGCCAAATACAATATATGCCTAAAATGCATGGATTCCGAGGAATCGTAATCTGAAAATTTCCAAAAGTGCGAAATATTGGGGAACTTGCTGCCCTTTTTTAAGTTATTTTCCCATTCACGTATCTTCCTTTTTAAACCCTCATCCATATGGCTAGAGAGGGTATACAGGATGAGATAAAAAAAACTGCAACAAATTCAAACTTTTTATACCCTCACCCATATGGCTAGAGAGGGTATACAGGATGAGATAAAAAAAGCTGCAACAAATTCAAACGCCATAATTTTTATTTTTTTTTTAATTTTTTGAATGAATGCAAAAAATGTCGGAAATAGCATTAAATTTTAGAATAAGTTTAGATTTGTTCGAACTGGTCACCTTTGGCACGAATTATGGCCTACCAACGGCCTCTCAAACCGTCATACGCTGTCCGAATGTTGCTCTTTGGTATTTCGGTCCATTCCCGGCGAGGCGCTTGGTTTAGGTTATCGACACTTTGGTATTTTTTGGAGCCAACCATGCTTTCCAAAATACTCCAGACACAATAGTCCAACGGATTGGTATCCGGAGGTTTTTTTTTTGCGCTTGAAATGAATCGAGGAACCTCATTTTGTAACCATATTTGGGTGGCGAGTGCTGAGTGCGATGGTGCTGAGTCCTGTTGGAATGTCCAAGGTCTGCGGCCAAAATGTTTGCATGTCCAAGGCTTTAATACACCCTCCAGAATATTTTCGTGATAATATTCGGCATTTATTCTGACCGGCTGTTATGGCGGCCCACACCATCACCATGGCCGGCATTTCAGCTGACCTCTTTGGCAAGTAAACACGATCATTTTGTTTTAGAAACTACTGGACAACGAATGTTTTCTCATCGCAGAAAACCAAATTCGGCAGTTAACAACTTTCGGTCATCGGCCAAGCGAAGCAACTCTTTAGCTCTTTTTAGTCTATTTTCTTTCTGTTGCGGTGTAAGTTCTTGAACTCTTTGGAACTTCAATAGCTTTACCCCGAGCTAATTTTTCAATATTTGCCGAATGGAATATAACATTTCTGCTGATTTTGCTGCTTTCTTCTGTCCATTTCCATGACGAGCGATGGTAGGAGACACAAAAGATTTATTCACATTTAAATGCTGTAGTGCTCTAACGATAGCCACTTATGGTTTTCCAGCCAAATATAAAGAAATCACGTTTGAATTCCATCACGAAGAAATTTTTTTCTGAAAAATTCTCAGCAAAATGCTTTTGTACGCTTCTGAGCTTATAATGAGCTGTCACTGGAATAATTTTAACAACTGTCGTACAAGTGGCTTAGAAATGACAGCCGTCTGAAGTTGGTTGCAGTTTTTTTATCTCACCCTGTATATGTTACCCCACGCATATTTCCACAAGTAGTCGATATAGTCCAAACCTCACACCTTGTAATATTTATATCAGTCTTAGTTCAGATATGAATTGGTCAATATTGGCCAACTGCTTCGGAATCTCCCCCATAAAGGGAGGGTAAAAATGATCATCGTTCTCCACTAATAAACAAACGTTATTTTTATAAAAACAACAATAATGGGATTAAGCCTGACCATTTTGCAACAACATTATCAGAAATGTTAAAATTATATCAAACCCCCCCCCCCCCCCCCCCTTTTTTTTAAAAAAAATTATCCAAATTTTATCCGAAGTCCATATTGACTAATTAATTATTATGTTCCCTTTTTAAAAATTTTCTAGAAGTTGTCCGGAGAATTAGCATTGGTTTCGAAATAAAACAACATTACGAAATTAATTGTATTATTATTTGTATATAATTTATTTTGCGTAAATATGTTGGCATACCTACACATATGGTGTATGTATGTATGTGTGTGGCTGTGTGTTTGTTTTGAAATTCGTAATCATATAATCATTAAAAACTATTCAATATAATATAATAATTATTTCTATGCAATAACATGTTTTTCGTTTCGTTTGTGTGTTTTAAACAATGTACAAGGCAAATGGAGCTCTAGAATAGAGAGACAAAGAGAAAGAGAGAGAGAGAGAGAGTGTGTGTGTCTGAGAGAGATATGGAGGGGAAAACTACATACTTATCAAATATAACACTTATGAGACAACATTATTAATTATAATTTTGTTTGTATTCTAATAAACTATTAAATAACTAACAAGATAAACTATTACATATTGAGAAATTGGTTTTTTAAATATATTCTTTTTTTTTTAATTTTTCTTTTAAATGGTTTTCAAATGTTAGGTTAGTTTTTCGTAACCTGGTAATGATATGTTTTTCTAATGTCATCGTTTTGATATGTGTTTTTTTTAATAATGAATTTAAATTTAAATAATTTTTCTTATATTGTTAAAAGTAGTTACAGTTTGTGTATATAAATATGTGTACATTTTTGTGTATATATATAAATGTAAAGATTTAATATTTGTAATTTTTTTTTTGGAAAGTCAATATAGCATTTTGTGTCATATATATATTTATGTTGCATAAAACAAAACAAAATACATCAGGTTCTAACATATTTAAGAGTCATCAGTCTTTGGATAAGGGAAAGGTCTATATAAGTATAAGTGGCAATATGGTTCGTTTCGATTTTCATTTCATAATTTTCATAATTAAAATATTCTTATAACAGTTATGGGTCCATAGTATAACAATTCTTAAATTCTATATACAAAACATTGTGCATTATTAAAAAAAAAGATAAAAATGAAATTCAATTATTTCCAAAGGTGGGTGGGTAGTTCTGGGTGATTGTTTTGGAATTCTTCTTTTTTTAGAATTAAAAATTCAAAAAAGTGAAATAGTTTTCAAAAAGGGACCCTTTACTAGAGAAAACTCTTTAAGAGTTTTATACGCAATTCTCAGAGTCATAATTGTGGTGGCAGGGCGCTGGGTGACTGTTGGGCGGACATATGTGTCGATGAGGAGGCGACCGAACCATTATTGGAGCCCGCACTCAGTAGAGGCCTTTCAAAATAGGGGGTTATATTATTGTCATTGTTTGCAAGCAATTGTAGAGGCCCCCCACCGGCACCCGGTGGTGTCTGGGACACCTGACCCGGCGAGGCTTGAGCCGAATTGATCAATAAACCACCACCTCCTCCCGCCGTCGCTGCCGCCATGGAGGAGGGATTTGTGACATTACTACCGGCCGGCATTGTGGGTGCAGCATTAATAATGGCTCCCTCCTTGGGGCAGCCAATGGTTAGGCGTACATGTAGACCAGATTCTTTGATGAGATTCACAACATCTCCGTGGGACATGCCGGCAATGTCAATGCGATTTACAGCAATTATGCGATCGCCCACCTTGAGTTCGCCACAACGATCGGCCGGGCTGCCGGGAATGAGTTTTCCTAAAAGAGATGCAAAAAAAAAAACAAAATTTAAAAATCTTTCCCCTTTCCCCCCTCTCACAAATACTTACCTATCGTGGAACCATAATATTGATTGGACGACGAGATTATGACAAAACCGAAACCCTCGTTTTCATGTCGGCTCACAATCACATCATAGGGATAACGTAAGGGAGCCGCCGCCGCCCCCGCTGACGTTGGCTGATTGCGTAAGTGTAAGGGTAATTGATGATGTTGGGCATTGGAGAGCAACTCCTGCATCATGGGTTGTTGGAACATCATTGGCATTTGATGGGAAGCCATGGTAGCATGTGGGTGTTGTTGATGCTGTTGTAGTCCAGAATTACCCATCCCTGCATGATGTTGCTGCTGTTGTAGATTTGTGTTTGGTGTCCGGCCAACTGTGCGTCGCCGCAATATCATTGTCACTTGACCACGCAGAGCTGCTTCGCCCATCAGCGAAACAACTTTGTGGTGTGAGGCATTAACCTGGGAATTGGGAAATGGGAAAATATGAATTTTGGTATAACAAGAAAAAAATGCAAAAGTGGGGTTAGGGTGAATGAGGATTTTTGTGAAACTTGAAATATTGGGGATTAGAAGAATAGAATGGTCCAAAGTTCGTCATGCGACAAAAAAGGAGCTAAAAAATTTGTTTAACTAAATTTAGTTTAAGGGTTAAGTGAGGTTATGTTGGTTATCCATGGTCATAATAATTTTCAAATATTATCCACTCTCTCAAATTGTTATCCGGAAATTATCCCAGGGTCTTCTGGAAATTTGAGGAGTTATGCGCGATTTTATTTTTCTTCCGAAACTTATAGTACCGATAAATATGTTATCCGCACCATTTCCTTTTTATCCAAAATCTATCAAAGACATATCAACTATTTAGCAGTTATCCGCTTCTTTGAATTGTTATCCAAATATTATACAGGGCTCATATAAGTTGTAAGAATTTTATCCAACCGGTTTTCTTAACCTTTGACATATGATCCGAGTTATACGAAGCCAATATTACGATTAAAATATTATCCGCGACTTCTAAAAATTATTAAAATTTTTAAAAAATTATCCGCAACTTCCAAAAATGATCCAAACGTTATCCAAAGCCCATATTGACTAGTAAAATAATATTCACAACTTTTATGAATTATTCGAATATTATTAAAAGCATTAAAATGTTATCCACGTCTTTTAAAAATTATCCAAGTGTTATCCGGAGCCCAAATTGCCGAGAAAAATATTATCCGCAACTTTTATGGCTTATCCAAATATTATACAGGGCTCATATAAGTTGTAAGCATTTTATCGACCCGGCTTTTATAGCCTTTAATATATAATCCGCGTTATCCGAAGCCAATTTTGACTTTTTAAAAATTATTCCCGACTTCTAAAAATTAACCAAACATTATCCGAAGCACTAAAAACGCATCCACTTCTTTTAATAACTATTTAGACGTTATCCAGAGTCCTGATTAACTACTAAAAAAAATATCCGCAACTTCCAAAAATTATCCAATCGTTATCCGGAACCCAAATGTACTTATAAAATATTATCCACAACTTTTATGAATTATCCGAATTTTATTCAAGGTATTAAAATTTTATCCACATCGTTTAATAACTATCCAAATGTTATCCAGAGCCCATATTGAAATATTATCCGAGCCATGGCCATATGAGCCATTTTGACAATTTTAAATATTAAAATATTATCCGTGACTTCTAAAAATTATCCAAACGTTATCCGAAGCATTAAAATTGTATCCACCTCCTTTAATAAGTATCCAAACTTTATCCGAAGACCATACTGTCATTTTCCACATTATCCTCGTTTTTATAAATTATTTAAATAATATCGACAATTAACATTTTATCCACGCCTATTATAAAATATCCAAAAATTATACGAAGCATTAAAATTGTATCCAAGACTTTCCAAACGTTATCCAAAGCTTTAAAATTTTTGATCCACGCCTTTTACAATTTATCCAAAAATTATCCGAAGCCAATAATAACTGTTAAAATATTATCCGAGATTTTTATAAATTATCCAAAAATGATTTAAATGTTATCCGCAGGCAATATTGACAAACAACATTTTATCCACGCCTAATATAAATTATCCAAACGGTATCCGAAGTATTAAAATTTTATCCAAGCCTTTCCAAACGGTATCCGAAGCTTTAAAATTTTTGATCCACGCCTTTTACAGTTTATCCAAATATTATCCGAAGCCAATAATTACTGTTAAAATATTATCCGAGATTTTTATAAATTATCCACAAAAGGTTTTAAATATTATCCGCAGGCCATATTGACAAACAACATTTTATTCAAGCCTTATATAAATTATCCAAAAATTATACGAAGCATTAAAATTTTATCCAAGCCTTTCCAAACGTTATCCGAAGCTTTAAAATTTTATCCACGCTTTTTACAAAGCCTCCAAACGTTATCCGAAGCCAATAATAACTGTTAAAATATTATCCGAGATTTTTATAAATTATTTAAATGTTATCCGCAGACCATATGTACAATTAATATTTTATCCACGCTGTTTATAAATTATCCAAACGTTATCCGAAGCATTAAAATGTTATCCAAGACTTTTCAAACGTTATCCAAAGCTTTAAAATTTTTGATCCACGCCTTTTACAATTTATCCAAATATTATCCGAAGCCAATTATTACTGTTAAAATATTATTCGAGATTTTTATGAATTATCCAAAAATTATTTAAATGTTATCCGCAGGCAATATTGACAAACAACATTTTATTCAAGCCTTTTATAAATTATCCAAAAATTATACGAAGCATTAAAATTTTATCCAAGCCTTTCCAAACGTTATCCGAAGCTTTAAAATTTTATCCACGCTTTTTACAAACGTTATCCGAAGCCAAAAATGACTGTTAAAATATTATCCGAGATTTTTATAAATTATACAAAAATTATTTTAATGTTATCCGCAGACCATATTTACAATTAATATTTTTTCCACACCTTTTATAAATTATCCAAACGTTATCCGAAGCATTAAAATGTTATCCAAGTCTTTCCAAACGTTATCCGAAGCATTACAATTTTATCCACGCCTTTTATAAGTTGTCCCGACGTTATCCGAAGCCAAAAATGATTGTTAAAATATTATTCGCGATTTTTATAAATTATACAAAAATTATTTTAATGTTATCCGCAGACCATATTTACAATTAATATTTTATCCACACCTTTTATAAATTATCCAAAAATTATACGAAGCATTAAAATGTTATCCAAGTCTTTCCAAACGTTATCTGAGGCATTAAAATGTTATCCACGTCTTTTATAAGTTATCCCGACGTTATCCGAAGCCAATAATTACTGTTAATATATTATCCGCGATTTTTATAAATTATCCAAACATTATCCATGACTCATATTAGCTTTGAAAATATTAACCAAAACTTTAATTTGTTATCCACACTTTGTTCGAACCTCTAATTTCTATTTAAATATTTATTCGCTTCTAAATTTAATATCCAAATATTTTTATTATTATCCATGACTCAACTTAGCCATTATCCGCGCCTTTAAAAATTATCCGTAATTCCCCTAAGCTATTAAAAAATTATTCAATTTTGTTAATGGGACTTGTATATGTTATCCACATGTTATCGGCGGCTTAAATTGACATTCAAACTGTTATCCGCGTCTACATTTCAGCATCCAGTTTTTTCTAAAACTTTATTCATATTTTATCCAAACCTTAAATTGTCATTTAAACTATCATCCGTATCTCTGTTATCCGTCATTTAAATGTTAATATCCAATATTATATATGTAACCTTTATAACCTCTTTATCCGCGGTTATCCATGCAATATATTAATGATTATAATATTATTCAAGTTAGTTTTTTTGTTATTCTAATGTTATCCGTTAGTTGCTTTTACTTTTTAAACGTTTATCCGCATTAGTTTTTATACAATTGTGTTAAAAAAAAGTATCCGTATTCACGGGAAATCCAAATAGTTCTGTACTTATTAAAATATTATCCACGGTTATTTTCAGTTAATAAAGGGTTTTTAGTATCAAAATATTATCCAAGATTTATAATCAAAATTTATCCTTTATCAAAAAGTCTTTATCCACACCTTTTTTGTATTATCCAAGAGTTCTCATTGTATTGCTAAAATTTTATCCACAACTTTTTATTGCTTATCCAAGACCGATTTTAAATAATCTTTTTTATCCGTAATGCATACACGATTGACATTTTCAATATCCATTCTCTAATAACTACTTATCCAATGTTTTAGTTCCTTATCCATTTAGTATATGTTAGCCTGATGGAAAGAGATGGAGGGGGGTGAATTTGGAAAAAAAATTGAAAATGGGAATGTGATGGGAATTTCGTTATATGTCTCCCCTCAAAAATATTTGGGAGCGGATTTTTTCCTTGGAAACTTACCACATTAATGCCATCAATGCTTAGAATTTCATCACCCGTTGTGATGCGATGATCATTATCGGCCGCTCCACCTGGTACAATGTGGCCCACTGTAACCTGAGATCCCTCTTCGGTGCCGCCGACAATTCTAAAACCAAAACCCAATGCCTGGCGTTGTAGCGTTACTTCGGACAACACACACTGTTCCCCGGAACCATCTATGATATCCGATGAAATGGGATAGCCACCATTGTGATGGATTATTTCCGAAGCACCAGCGGGTTGTAGAATATTATAACCCATTGAGTGATTATTACCCCAGCTATTTAGACCTGCCGAGGCTTGGCCATGATGTGCCATCATTGAGGAGGAGACGGAGGAGGAGTGCGGATGTTGGACCTGGGATGCTGATGGGGAATAACTGGAAACTCCCGTATTATGGTGATGATGATGCTGCTGTTGCTGCTGCTGCTGATGTTCCAGTGGGGAAAAGCCCACTCGCCTTCGATCGTTTAGCAGCTCATTTACCCGTTTCTGCATGCGTTCATTTTGTATGTGTGCCGCTTGTAAACTGGCTGAGGAGGCGGGAGAATATTGGGCTGGATGCTGCCCGGCATAGTGGTTGGCAGCATAATAGCTTCGCGGAGAGGGTTGTTGATGCTGTGGCGGCTGGGTATTGAATTGATTGAGACGATTGCAGCGAAAATCTTGACATTCATAACAGAAACAAGATTCATGATGATGGTGATAGCTGTTAGAGGCGGGAGCCATTAAACCTCCACCACCACCGCCACCCGGTGAAATTCCCGCCGGCGGCCCATACAGAGCCCCACTCAATGGACTCATGGTGGGTGGCATTTGTGAGAGGCCATAAATGGAGCTATAATTTCCACTACCACCACTAACATAATCACTTTGGTTTTCATAGTTGGCCACCCCAGAGGCTGTGGTCCTCAAGTAGCCACCCGTCGCCGTTGAGGCTGCCGCACCATTATCATTCTGCATGGTCACACTGGCCAAGCGTTCACTTAAACTTGTCACCATTTTTGGATAGGGATCCATAAAGGGTATATCATGATTGATGGCATCCAATTCGGAGAGAGAATTCTGGGATTTACTGCCCTCGTTCAAATGAGATTTACTCTCGGCCAGGGAGCGTTCCAGAGGTGAATCTGTTTCATTTGATTTGTTATTCACTGCCGCCACTTCATTGTCTTCATTCAGCTCCATATTGGGTGTTTTAACCCTGGCCCTTCGTGTATCCACCAGGGGTGTTTTTGGCCTTATTGGTAAAATTTCCTTTTGCATGGTACTATACAAATCGGCTGTGGGAGTTTTGCTGCGAAACAGGGCATTGTTCCCAATGCTTGTGGTGCCACCCAGGAAATTTTTCCTCAGCTTTGAAACACCGGAATTGTTGCCATTCGGCGAGGTGGTATTTACAGGCCTTTGAATCTTTACCAAAGTTGGCTCGGTTTTGGAACAATCCTTAAGAATTTGTACCACATCCTGATGGGATTTATTCCTAACCATGTGATCATTGATTTCCAGCAAAATATCTCCCTCCTGCAGCTCACGACAGCATGAACGATCGAGAATTTTCTTTACTTTCTGGCCATAGGAGGAATCGGCAATGGTAAAACCAAAACCCATGGCCCCCTTGATAATGGAAAAGGTATGGACCTCGGGTTTTTTCATCAAAATAAAACCGCTGTTATCCAAGGTACCTCCACCACCACTGCCGCTGCTTGAACTTAAATTCAGTTTATTTCCCCCACCTCCGCCATTACTGCTTGCCGCAGAGATATCCAGGAAATTGTAATTTCCATCCATATTGAGATCCATTAGCATGCGTCGCTGCTTCTCCGCATCATTGGACATGCCATCCACGGCAATGGTGGTCACCACTTCGGTATTTGGATCATTGGGATCAAAGGGCAGGGGATAACCACGACAAACCTCCAGGGTAACGGTGTCACCCACCATAATGGATTGGAAGATGTTTACCTAAAAGGAAGAAGAGGAATTTAAAAAAATAAAGAAGTTTGGAAATAATCAAATATCCACCCACCATTTCATGATGGCTGAAACCCAAAACACACGTGTCATTCACATAGACCAGGACGTCACCCATTTGCAGCGTGCCATCCAACCAGGCGGGGCCATTGGGTACAATGGATTTAATTTGGAGAAATTCCTCAACACCATCCCCATCACCACCCACAATGGTTATGCCCAGGCCTCGGGCCGATTTCAGTAGCGTTGTGGTGATGCGTTCCCCTTGCATTTCCGCAGGATTGCGGGTAAATTTATAGGGTAACATTCCCTTGGGGCTACTCAAGTCTTGCGCTGCCATGGGCGGTGGGGGTTGCATGGCTCTTTGGGATATATCCACTGTGGATAGGGTGGAGGCTGAGGACACTGAACTTAAGGCAATACTAGCACCGGCACCATTCAGAACACTCGATGAGGAGGGAGTTTGGGGTCTCTGTAAATGCTGCTGTGCCTGGGCTTGGGCCTGTGCCTGTTGTTGGGCCTGAGCCTGTTGTTGTGCCTGCTGTTGCTGATTTTGTTTTTGCTCCGCCGCCCGCCGTTTGGCTTCCAATACCGGATTCTCATATTGGGTCTTGCGATTTACATGATCTATGTAATAGGTCCCATAGAGGGAATCCTCAATTTTCTCCCAACCATAGGGTAATTCACCTTCGGTACATTCCTCCAAAGATTTCTTTTGGAATTTCGATAGCCGGGGATCCAGCCAATGTGAGGTGCCCGTATTGTGACTAAAAATCATAAATTTTTATTTTTATTCAATTGTTGTTGTTTTGTTGTGAGAACTTACTCAATAAAATATAGCTCTCCTCTCTCCGTATAGGCTGTCTCCCATTTTGGCGGCAGGGGTCCCAACCCATCTCCGGGATCATCTTGTTCTATGTGATTACTGGAATTGGTACCACCTCCAGTTTCACTGCCTGTGGTACTGCCACTAATGCTGCCATTACTGTAGCTATTTTGCAGTAGATTTTCTGGAAGAGGAAGAAAATACAAAAATTATTTAAAAATTAAAAAATGTGTTTTTAATAATTTATAACAAAAATCACAAAATTTAAATGTAAGAAAAAGGCTCCTTTTTATTTATTTTATTGTTTGATCATTTGAATTTTCTTCTTAAAACTTCTTAAGACGATTAAATTTATCCTGTATTACAAACTCTTTGTTCCAATTAACCCACGGTATAGTATGGATTACTTTAACCTGTTCTTAATCTGCCATATATTTAGTAATTAATTTTTATTTTATAATAGTTTCTGTTTTGGCGGGCTATAAATAAATCCAACTATAAATAAGAAGTAAGGCAAGAGAGTCAGTCACAGGTGCTTGATTTTACTTCTCCCACAACAGTAACAATAATAACAACAACATAACCTGTTATCCCCCCCAACACAAACAAAATTAAGCAGCACCAGACAATGTCAATCGATGAGAGGTGAGAAGTAATTAAAGATGAGTTGATTGATTTAAAGGGGTTACTATTGGCCAAATGATAGGGAGCGAGACAGAGACACTCATGAGAGAAGCGGTAAATTTGAATGGCTGATTGACCGCCTTTTACGGAAAGAATAAACCTAAACTAAACTACAAAGAAAGAAAATGAAACAAATTAACAGACCATAAACAAGGATGTGGGTGTTGAAATGGATGGAGAAGAGGAAGAAGAATAATAGGAAATAGTGGGTATACCATAAAAATGATGTGACAAACAGCCAATAAATTAACAATTTATTATAGTTTTCAACTAACTGAACTAATGACCCACATCTAGATGTGGAAATAGAGAAAGAGAGAGAGAGAGAGGGGCAGGGAGGTAGACACACACTCATGCCAGTGTGACCGCTGGAAATTTTCAAAAAGTATCACAAAAAGTATCATTTCTTAAAAAAAGTGGCACATATCACTTTAAATGGTGGCACAGAAAGTGGCACAATTTATTTCACATTTTATTTAAGTTCGAAAAAGTTCGAACTTTGAATACCCTTCAAAGTAAAAATTTGGCAATTTTCACAAAAAAAAATAATAATAATAATAAAATTGGGTAAAAATTCTGTTAAAATCTTAAAAATACCGAATGTAGCCGTATATTAGGGTCTATACGACGACGTGGACCTGCATAGGCAAATTTTGTCATAAACTATTATAATATTTAAATGCGAAACTTGAAAAATAATCTGTTTACAATGTAGCTAAAGTAAATAAAATACAGAATATAGGGAGGTGTATTGGGGTTATAAAACGTGGACCTGCACAGACAATTTTCCGACATAGGCTGCAGTATCCATCACGAAGTTCAAATACAGAATTTGAAATAATTCCCGTAAATAATGTCGCTAAAATCATCAAAATACCGAATATCGGGGTACCGTTATATAGGGGTTATAAGAAGACGTGAACCTACACAGACAATCTCCTGTCATATGCTTTAGTAATTATTACGAACTTCAAATACCAAGTTTGAAACAATTCCGATAAAAAATGTCGCTAAAATCATCCAAGTGCCGAATATCGGGGATACCGTTATATGGGGGTTATACGAAGACGCAGATCTGCACTTACTTCAACTTACTTCATTTTGTTCGGAAGCTAGAGTGATTTCCACAGACGGACGGACATTGATAAATCGACGTAGAATTTTATGCTGAGCAAGAATATATATACTTTGTGGGGTCTAAAATGTATATTTCGAGGTGTTACAAACGGAATGGCAAACTTAATATACCCTTCCTACTATGGTGGAGGGTATAAAAAAGGTGGCACAATGTATAAAAAAGTGGCACAAAAATTCAAAAAAGTGGCTCATTTAGGATCAAAATAAAAAAGTGGCACAAAGGTATTAAAGCCCAAAAAAGTGGCAAAATTGATACTTTAGTGGCACAACGGTCACGCTGACTCATGCATACATGTATGTAAATTGGTTAAGAGGAAATTCATTAGAATTTCAATGGAGCATTAAAAGAGATTAACAGACATAGATATAAAAATATGCATGGATGATGAAAGAAAAAAAAAGAAGGAGGTGGGAGGAAGAGGAGCTTTATAATACCCACAATATAAAAATTAATGAAAGCTAGAAGAAGGATGAAGCAGGCAATGAGACAGCTTAATTGTTGTTTTATTTTGCCTAACAAAGAATTTTATTATTGTAAGAATTTGCCAATGTCATTTAAAAAACGGAGGAGTGTGAGGGGAAATAATGAATATTTCATCAGGCAACATCAAAGGCGCATGCAAATACCAGTAGTTGTAAACGTTTATTTATTAATGATTGACAAACAATATTTTCATCATCATAATCACCATTATTATTCCGTTTCTTCTTCAACACCACAACAAAGTGAGAAATGAGAGGGGGGACTTTACATGGGATTAGGTTAGATGTTTTTTTTTTTTTCAATTTATTTAGAAATTAATAATTAATCAAATGGAAATTTTAGTTGATTGATTTTGTTGTACGAACAAAAAGAGTCCGGAGGCAATTTTGCATATTGTCTATTAATTATGGTGTTGTGTTTTGCTTAAGCATGACAGGTTGAATGCCTTAAAGACAAATATGTAGATTTAATTAATAGTGATAAAAAAAAATTCAAAAAAAAAAATAGAACTCAGAAAGTTTGATTGAAAATATATTCTTTAAAACTCAAAACAAAAAATCAGGAAAATTAACATAAAATATATTTTTGAAGAATATTTAAAATAAAAACAAAATCCAAATTGTTTTATGTATTAATTTTTATATTTTATTTTTTATATATAACAATTTTTTTTTCTATATCAATGTCTAAATTTTTAAAAAATTATTTTTTAGAAATTCCAATTTTTTAAATATGTCAAGTATTTTTTGTTTTTGATTTTTTTTAAATTGCAAGCTTTTTTGAATTTTTTTTCTTTTTTTTTCCATGTATTTTTAATTTTTTTTAAATACCATGTATTTATAATTTTTTTCTTTAAGAAATTTCACGAAGATTTAATTTTAGATTTTTTTCTTTTAAAAATTCTACACAATTTTAGTTTTTGATTTTTTTCCTTTTAAAAAGTCTGCGAATTTTTAACTTTTGAATATTTTTTTTTAAATTTTCAAATTTTATTTTTTTTTCTTTTTTCAAAAAAATTTTAATTTTTAATTTTTTTCTTTTAAAAATTCTACGCATTTTTAATTTTTGAATATTTTTTTTTAAATTTTTATTTTTTTTTATAAAAAAAATTAATTTTTGAATTTTTATTTAAAAATTTTACGCATTTTTAATTTTTGATTTTTTTTAATTTTTCAATTTTTGATTTTTTTCTTTTAAAAATTCTATGCATATTTAATTTTTCAATATTTTTTTTTAATTTTCATTTTTTTATTTTAAAAATTCCACGCATTTTTAATTTTTTTAATTTTCTTTAAAAAATTCCACGCATTTTTATTTTTTTAATTTTCTTTAAAAAATTCAACGCATTTTTAATTTTTTTTTTAAATTCCACGCATTTTCAATTTTAGAGTTCTTTCTTTCTAGAATTTTACGCATTTTTCATTTTTGAGAATTTATTTTTTGTTTTCAATCCATGTTATTTCAAAAAAACACTTTTTTAATTTTTTTAAAATTTTCCCTAAAGAATCCAAGTTGCTCAATTTTTGAACATTTATTCCTTTAAAAAATCCCCATGTATTTTATTTTTTAAAAAAATTATTCTTTTAAAAAATCCAAGCATTTCAATTCTTTTAAAATTTATTCTCTTGAAAAATCCAAACCTTTCAATTTTTAAAAATTTATTCTTTTTTAAAAACCACGTTTTCGTTTAATTTTTGAAATGTATTTTTTTAGAAAATCCACGTTTTTTAATTATCACGTTTCTTTATTATTCTTTAAAAAAATCAAAATTTAAAAATACCCACCTATTATTATCATTATTGCCCTTGTGTATTGTGAGGATAATTTCTCTCTCTCTCTCTCTCTCAATTTCTTTAGTATGTATTTCCGCTTTCACTTGTTAACATAAAACAACTGTTCATTTGAATATGACAGTCTCTTGCAAAACAATTAGACTCAGTTATTTAAGCCCTCTTACTCTCTTCTCTTTAATGTAAATTCCTTTATCGTTCACTGAAGTAAAATATGTATTTCATATTTTTATTTCACAATTATTTTTTTTTTTTATAAGAAAAAAACACTTGAATTTGCTCTCTTTTGAATTTTTATGAGCAGGTAGGTATTTTCTTCAAAACAATGGTACTAATAATCCGTTTTTTTTCTTCACAATTCAAGCTGATCTTTGTCTTACAAGGGTTCTTATGGAAATGCCAAAGAGTATGGTTGTGTGTTTGCTTCATCCCCGTTGTGAGAGATTTAACAATCCTTAACAAGAGAAGAGAGTAGAGATAACAATAATAAGGAGAAGGGATCATAACGCACCATGAATGGCAATCAGACCAAAACAAAAACAAAACAAGGTTGCCAGATCGCTGCTGCTGCTGATGTTGATGATGGTAACGATTGCATGAATCATATATAGAAATATGTCCACGCAAAGAGAACCAGCTACAAAAAAGGAAACAACAACAAGATAAAATTCTAAAGAAAGTGTGTAAAATAAACACACACACAATCAATGTTTACAAAAATGGTTTACAAAATATGGAAACCAGTTTTAAGCCATTCCTAAAAAAATAATAAGAAAAAAAAAAACAATAAAAACAAAGCAAAAGAAGAACACACAGATAAACCCATAAATCATTGGGGTTAAGAAAGAAAACTAATCACAAGTGAGGAATTTTATCTCAACTTCATCGCAGAAAAAGGAATGTGTTTTTTTTGTACAAGAGGATTGGATGGATCATTTGTGGTGGTGGTGCGTCATGGCAAAGGAATGTTTGTTGGCGTATCCTCACAGGAGAGATAATGAAAAATGAGTGTAAATATTTGTGTCTAGACAAATTAAATAGTTTTATCGAAAATATATGAACCCTTTTAATAGATTAAAAAAAAAAACA